AAAATACCTCCGGTGACAGTGTTAATTCCTGGTTGAACTAGATTTGAACCTGTACTAGGGTTACCCGCAGAATCTACACTTGTCCCCTCTAGCTGAGCTTTCATTTGTAAAAATCTAGCCTTATCTCTAGGGTGTGTTTTTATGTGCCTAGTCAAACTACCCGTGTCGCTACGGTCTCCAGTATATTTATGCGACATTAATTTCCCACAAGTTTTACACTTAGCCTTATTTTGTTCTCTTACTTGAGTAAAACAATTCCAAACTAATGATATTTCTAGGCGTTTAGCAGGTTCTATATTAAAAGTAGGAGTTTCTACAGGTGGGTTGGCCGATGCATCAGTTGGATTATTAAGAGGACTAGTAGGTGTATCATCTAAATCCGGTGCTTGGGTTTCATCATCATCCTCATTTTCCTCATTATTTTCTAAGATAGTTTCATTAGGATAAAGAGCATTCATAATTTCATCATCTAATCTTTCACCTGGTGCAACATTATGGTAAAATTCACTATCGGTAAATTGAAAACAAGGGTGATCACTATCAAGAATTACGGAAGGAGGAGGACGTCTAGGTTGGCGACTACTTTCAACTTGCTTATCTTTTCTAGGTCGGGGAGCCGGGGGAAGGGTAGTTGGTTGGCCACTACTTTCACCGGTTTTATCTTTTCCTTTACCAAACATTTTTTTCAAAGAAAATGCCATATTAATTATAATTATGCAAACTAAACCACACAAAAATATATTCTTAAAACGTAAGAGTTGAAACGAGTTTACCGGATTGCCGAACAACTTCTTGAAAATTGAAAATCGTTGAACACTTGAAAACTTCAATTCAACAACTTCACAATTTTTCACAAAATTTCAACAATAAATTAAGTAATTGTAGTAGAGAGATTGAGAGATATTGATGAATTGGTGAATAAAAATGAAAAAATGAGGGGGTATTTATAGTTGAGAAATAGGAAAAAGTGTAATTATATAAAGTTTGGGGGCCAAATGACCATTTTCTAAACTACCAAACGGTCAAAAAAAGTCCCAAACGGCTACTTTTTAAATATGGCCGTTGGGCTGTTTTTTAATTTTTTTTTTTAAATTATAGCCGTTAGCCCGTTGGGCCCGGACCAGGCCCGCCAGCCGGTCCCGGGCTCGTGGGCTTAACAAAGAAGACCAGCCCGCCTCGGGCTTTAAGGGACCGCTAGGACCGGCCCATGAGGCCCGTTAAGACCGCGGGTCCGGTCTGGTCCGGTTCAGGACCGGCCCACAGTGCAACATTAGTTTCCAATGAAGATTATACCATTTTGTTCTATAGATGAGCTCAAGCAAATGGCAAATTTTCTGCTGAATTTGAAAGTTGATGCAAGTTGAGCAGGAATTGATACTGCACTTTGGTGTCCAAAACCAATAGTTCCTTTAACATCTTTACCGAGATCTTGAGTTACATATGATCCTGCGCAGCTGAATATAAACTTTGGAATGGTTGCAACAGGGCCTGAAAAACAAGAGGTCAGAAGTTTTAACAAGAGGATTCAAAAAAAGAGTTGTCCTACGTACTACGGTGTAAACATTATTATCATAATTATGTCATTTATTTATAAGATAATAGAAAGCAAATATTTATGATAAATATTATTAATATATTGTTAATTACTCCCTCCGTTTCAAATTAGATTAGTTGGTTTGACTCGATACGCAGTTTAAGAAAAAAAAAGACTCTTGAAACTTGTGGTCTTAAAAACTTAAGGGGTAAAAGCTTTATAAGACCATGACATTTGTGTGGTTATAAAAACTTCTCACTAAGGTAAAATGAAAGAGTTTAAAGTTGAATTATTTCAAATTTTAGAAGTGTGTCATTTATCTTGGAACAGACTAAAAAGGAAAGTACCACATCTAATTTGAAACGGAGGGAGTACCTGATACAAATGATAATTAACTTGCTATTAGAGGTTAAACTACACTGAAAGTACAAAAAATATTTTTTACAATCACTATATATAATTTATATAGACAAGAGGGGTTGCTCTGATGGTAAACAACCTCCACTTCCAACCAAGAGGTTGTGAGTTCGAGTCTCCCCAAGAGCAAGGTGGGAAGTTCTTGGAGAGAAGGATGCCAGGGGTCTATCTGGAAACAGCGTCTCTACCCTAGGGTANCTACACCCGGGGTGCAAACTTGCAATCTAAAGCAAAATTAGGCTATCTTTACCACTTCATTGAGGCTGTTCTTATGGCAAGAATATTCGATAATATACACCACACACACAAAGTTGTGTTTTTATCTTGCCAAATATAAAATTTTAAAGCAGAAAATTCAAGTAAACATCTTTCATTAAATATATATAGTTCCGCCCTTGTACCTGGAAAAGATCCGTTAATGGATTGGATTGACAAAACATCCTCGGCAGTTTCTCCACTTGTTAAGATTTCAACAAGTGGGTTTTCAACATGGTTATAGCATGCATCTTTGTTACATCCTGGACCACGTTGTACAAATCCCAGAAAGCAATCTCCACATTGTGTGGTGCTAGCTAGTGCATTGTCTTGACTTACAACGAGATGGCTTGTAAGTTGAGCTTTTGTAGCCATTTTCACAATCAACCCATAGGCTATCACCAGCGAGATGGATAGCGAGTTTAAGGGGAACCAAAGGTGTTCTTTGTTGAATTTCAGTAATGTATTGTAGGCTGGAGGGGTCTTTTTTCACTGCAAGAAATAGAGTTTTAGGATGGAAAGTGGTTTTAGCTAGGCAATTAGTGGATATTATTATTATTATGAGAAGAAAGTAATGTAATGATTTGTAGTAGATGGAGCACGACATCATGAGTAATATGGAAGTTTGATGACAAAGGAAAATAAGCAAATGATTTTATGTGAAATCTTGGATTCAATAGGCAATGTATTTATGTGATAAGAGGGGTTTGATCGGATAGTAAGCAACCTCCACTTCCAACTAAGGTGGAAAGTTCTTGGAGGGAAGGATGTCGGGGGTCTATTTGGAAACAGCCTCTCTACCCCAGGGTAGGGGTAAGGTTTGCATACACACTACCGTTCCCAGACCCCATTAAGTGAGATTATATTGGGTTGTTGTTGTTATTGTAATATGTAATGTATTTATAGCTACTATATGATTTTTAAAAGTGGTGAAGTGGTGAGCCAACTCTGGAAGTAGATGGCTTTTTTGTCCGTTTAATACCATTCGTCTCAATTGTTTAAAAATCTTTTTGTTAGCACATGTATTTTGTTGGGAAAATGACAATATATATCCGCTATAAAAATAGTAGTCGAAAAAATGTATAAATTTTGTATATTATATATATAATATATATATTATGTATATTATATACAAATTATATACATTTTTTCGACTACAAATATAAATAATTTATGACATAAGCTAAAAGTGATAGTACCTTTTTTGTTGGAAACTTGTGGACTCGGTCTTTCACATGGGACAATCCATGGTATTTCCCGTTGGAAGAGCAATGAAATTTCATAAAGACAAGATACATCATTTATTATCACATGCTTCAATTTTTTAATCAAAAGCTAATTTCCTTCTTTCAGTGCCCAATAATTGATTGCTTAGGTTTTAAATCAACAAAGGTTATATATTATTCAGGCAAAAAAAATTACGCTGCTTTGAAATAATTAATTCTCACATGTATAACTAGGCAAGATTAGCAATTGAGGCTTCTTTTCCACTTCTTTCACGAACGGTCCACTTTCTTGACTATTTCGACAAGTTTCTTTGTTCTTTGTCATCTAATTCACGAAAATTAATATATAATGTTTTAAATATAAGAGATTAACCACACTTCACATGGAAGTGTTTCTTCTCCCCTTCCTTTGGTTTGAATTATTGTTATCAGTACCATCGATCAATTTAATAGTCTTCGAAACTGAAACTCTTCTGGATATTAAAATGTTTTCCTATTCTAAGGCTACGATCATGTTCAGAGATATGAATTTTGGTACGGTCTCGCAATTTTGTATACTTAAGGTTCTTGAGGCCTGTTCTCTTTTGAAGATCTGGCACTACTTAGGATACTTTTTAATTTTGCCTGAAAAATTTCCACGTTTCACAATTAGTTAGATGCACCGACGAGCTTTGCACTCCTTATTTTACTTTATAATTTAATTTATATACGCTTATAATATTATTAAATTTTGTAAGAACTGAAAAGAAATGGAGCTCCAATGGTGATCTCCAGAAGGTTCTATGAGAGAAGGTTATAGAAAATAATATCTCAGCTAATCCTAACACTCCTAACAAAATGTAACTGTTTACCGTGAAAATGGTAATAAAAATTAAATTTGATTTAGTGGTTCTAAAAATACCTGATCTATTTTTATGCTAGTTGTTAGGGCAATAGATGCTATGTGAAAGACTTAGAAACGAGATAAGAGCTTGAGAGTAAGGTGATAACCAAACCGAATGATTAATAATCGGGGCCTCGAGCTTGCCTATTCGAGGACCTCGGGGTCGAGTCTGAAGCTCGGCTGGGGGCTATCGAGGGTAATCGATAGGTGGCTAACAGTCGTAATAAATTAATGACGGCTCTTTATGACCAATAATAAGCAATAAATGATGAACAATAAATAGAACACAATAAATATAAGCAGTAAATGAAGTAATGAGATCAAGAGAATATGTTAGAAATCAGTGAGAATGTTCTTGTGTATTTGGTATTGAGCAACAGATCACTACATAATGACAAGGATCCCCTTTATATAAGAGGGAGAATCCCAACATGGTACAAATGCATTAATTACAAAGTTATGGGGCTGGTACAATCATTTAATGCCTTGATTTGCTTTTCTCACTAGTCCACTAGACTTGGCCAGCTATATGACGCGCCTTGGGAATTTCAACTTGATCCGTCGAGACCATTAAGTCACATTGCCTCGGGGCCGGTCGCTACTTACACTACCTCGAAGTCGATTACCGAGAACCCTCAGAATTGACCATTGAAAACCCTCGGGATGCCTTGATGATTGTAAAATCGAACCGCGATTTCTACCGTATATAGATAGTCCCCGCGTTTCCTAGAACACAGTGATAGGAAACGATTTTGAACTCCTACTCCTTAAGCATCATTATCATGGCATCAGCCCATCAGTGCATTAAATGCCATAACTCAAAAGCCGCATAAGGGATGCAGTCAAACATGACTATCGAGAAGCCCACGAACCACTATTGGTTCGTCCTTTCCGCTGCCCATATGGCTTCTATAAATGCATTAGCCGTTTGATAATTCACATTTTTACAACATCTTCAAGTTTTCAAAGCCAAATCCATCCCTTTTCACATTGTTCCTTCTTCCGTGCTTGATTCTCTGCCTACTTCCTCAGAAAGGCTATTTCACCATCATGGCTAGAACTTCTAAGACAGTTCCATGGAAAGACGAGGCTACCTCTTCATCTCGAACATCCAAAGGAAAGCCCAAAGTGATACCCACCGTTGAACAGTGTACCCCCACCGAATTCAACATGGTGAAGGATTTTTCCGTCGACAGACCTTCGTCTACACCGGGCCGATGCGAACACGTATCCCGGTATATTAGCGTCGTAACCGACATAGGGAAAGTGAAGGAAGACTGCCGATGGAGGAGGCAGTGCTGGTTGAGATACCCCGCTCTAACGAGAGCATAACGGACCACAAGGCTGGCTTCCTTTATGTATATACATACTTATTCACTTTGGGTCTGGTCGATTCTTCGAACCCTTTTTCCCCGAAGATACATATGGTCATTCTCGACTTATGCGACAAGTATCGAGTGGCGCTCGACCAAATCTATCCCTCTTTCTGGAGGATAGTCTACATGCTCTGCCATTTCTCCAACGAGGTCGAGGGTGAGACCTTCACCCTCGACCATTTGATTAGATTTTTTAGCCCTCGATTTTATCGAGGTTTGATTAAGCATCACCATCGGTCCAAAAAGCCATTTTTCTCGAGCATCGATGAGGACAAAGATCGAGGATGGATGAGCAAGTTTGTCCGAGTGAGGACCTCGGACATCATCCCTGCCAAAAGGATGCCTTTCCCGTAGGAGTGGAACACGCAGCGTAAGTACCTCTCCTTCGAACATGCATTGTGGTCTTCTTACTTTTCTCCCGAAAAAATGATCTCCCCTTGGTTTGTGCAGCTACCGCTTGGTATCCTGAAGCGGTTCAGGATCTGCCGTGATGGATTAGGCGGTTGGATACCTCGTTCCCGTACCTCGTGCGGTCTTGGCCCAACCTGGCTAAAACACGGTGAGTGGCTAAAAATCATGGTAAAGTCCTTCTTGCCACCTATATCTTATTTTTATGCTTCTCCCCCGTATCCTTTGTGTTGATAAATTTGGACACTATGTTTGCGTAGACCTTGGCGATGGGGTGCAGATGAGACTGCCTTTTGACGGCGAGATGGAGACTCCGAAGCCTGTTAAGGGCAAAAAGAGGAAGAATAAGGCGGCTGCTGATTCTCCTGCGACAAAGAAACCTAAATCACGCAGGCCTCGAGCTGCCGCTAGGACCTCAACTTCAGCTTCCAAAGCAAGTCCCAGTACTGGGGATGAAGATGATGATGAGGGCGAGTACCATTTGGTACAAAGAATGAGGTCGGGCGCAGATGTCCTACAGGTGTCCCAACCGGAGGCCACTGAATCGGGAACGGTCGATTCAGATCGATCCCATGTGATGGAGACCCTCGAGGAGGGTGAAAATGCGGTCCTTGAGCCCCTAACCGGTGTGGTGCAGTTCCCGCTAGGGAAACCGTTGCTGATGGTCCCAAAGGGTCTGGGCTCGGAGCTTTTCGGGGGCAGGATTTGCCCCTTGGTGATATCGCTGCCCTGGGTGGCCTTAATTTGTGCCCTCAGTTCTCGTCCGAGGAGTTAAAGGACGCTCATGACCCGAATGCTGGCAACGTGGGGGGTCCTTTCAAGGGGGAGGTGCGCTTGGCAACTTCCTTGATGACGTTGACGATGCCAGCGAGGACATCGATCTCGATGTTCCCAGCGCTAACGAGGCAGCGGAGAAGTTCCAGCGGCAGGTGATAGCTGTTCATGTATACTTTTTAGTCTCAAACATTTTTCCTCATTTTTCTGACTTTTCTGTTTCGCCGTAGTCTAAGAATATGTATAATCACGCCCTCTCTAGGCTCCAAGAGGAGCTTTCATGCCATGGAAAGGAGCTCGAGAAGCTCACATCGGGACTGCAGGAGTCAGAGGCCTCCTATGCCCGATAAGTGAGCTTCAGGCGGCTTTGGAGGGAGTGCTCCGAGAAAAGGCTGATCTTGCTGGGTAGGTAATTTGTTATTCGTAAATCCGTTCATCGTTCTCATAATTCAATATTTACTGACTTATCTTTTCCTTTGCAGATCGGGCAGAAGAATGTGGAGATCCTCGAGCTGAGGAAGCTAAGCGAGATAGTGACCTCGGAATTGGCATCGACCCAGGGTCTTCTCTAAAATGCTCGAAAAGAGATTGTTGCGCTATCTGCGACCAAGTCCGAGGTCGAAGAAAAAGTCGCTATTTATCTAAAAGACGCCGCCACTACGAATCAAATAGCCCGAAATATATCGGTGTAGCCTGAGCAAAAACTGATTCGGACTGTCGCTCGTGTTAGTGCAAAGGCGAGGAGGCAAGCATTAGAGGAAGCCAATGCTAAAGGTGCCGATCTCTCAGTTGAGATCGAGGAGGCCCAAGAGTCGGAAAAAGAAATGGCTCTCTTAGTCGCTTTGGACGAAGGTCCCGGAGATGGTTTTGAGGGCAGTGGTGATGAAGAGTAGGACTGTGTCACCTTTGCTTCTCTTTGTTCTTTTTGTTTATGTATTCCGGGGGAACCAAGTCTTGTAAAGACGCCCCTTATAAATATATTTTTTGGCAATTCTAGAGAATTGTTTCTGCTTCAAGTCTTTCCATTCTTTATATTCCAGCGTTCATACGGAGTTAGCCTTTGAATTTTGATGTTGGATTTTTAGAGCCCATACTTGGAGTAATTGGAGCCCTCGAGATCGGGTACCATCTCGAAATTAGGCCGATAGCTCCTTTGGGGCCGATAGCTCCTTTGGGGACGAT